CACTCGGGGCAGAGCTGGGTGGGCGCACGCGGGTTTCGGGAGAGGAGGCGGGAAGGTCACCGCTGCCCACTGGCGAGGCAAGCACAGTGCGCAGAGAAGCACGACCAGGCTGGTGCCCGAGCGCCTTCCCTTCAGGGTCCACACCCAGATCACCAGTGGCATTACCACGACCTTTCTGCCCTTGCCAACCATCTCCACCCAGGATTTGGGTGACAATCTGGGATTAGAGGCATATTCAGGTGAGTTTAGCAAACACCTGTTGTTCCTTCCAGGAGCACAAGGGACCTAAGACACTAACGCTCTGCTGGCGGGACTACAGAGGGTGGGGACACATGACTGCGCTCCCCCACTCTCCCCTCCCTCATCAGCACGAGCAGGTGCTGAGGAAACACCTGCCCACAGGAGCTGTGGCTCCGATGGCTGCTTCTAAGGGCGGACGCTTCCGACCCCAGGTGGCTTGGGGCCTCTCTCAAGTCACTACCGTCTCTCCCAGTCTCCTCCTCTGCAGGTGGAAAGGATGCTTCCGGCTATGCCCATCCCAAGATTGTGGAACTGACCCCAGCTATGACCTTCCTGCCGTTGCCCTCCCAGGCTTCTCTAGGAGGGACTCATCTCCTGTCAGCACCTCCAAATGTCACCTTGGAACCAGGCCAAACCACCTCAGCAATGCACTGACAGCTGTCGAATAGGACTCTGGCCTGCACAGGGTTTTAACTTTTGTTTTAGACGATTCCTCAACAGGCGTTTGTCTTCCTCCAAGACCGACTGCTGCAACACTGCCCATGGACACCTTTGCCCGAAAGGAGTCAGCAGAATGGGGGCAAACTGACCCTTGGCCGTGGAGGTTTTCACGTACAGGCTCCCGATCACCCTTACCTTACGCTCTCGTCCCTGAGGAAGCAGGCCCAGTAGTGCCGCCCGCGGGGGTCGGGATTGTTTCTACAGAGATCGGCTCTGCCTTCCCTCTTGCTGCCGAAGGTGCCGGCAACCCCAGCCTGCAGCCACTGAGCATGGTTCCGACAGTGACCGATGGCCGGGAAAGCTGCTTCATGATGTGAGGCCTCAAGGCTTCATGCCAGGGGGCTGGACCCACCACACTGTGGGGAACACAAACCTCTGGACACCCAGGAAAGATGTCCGCAGGAGACCAGGAGCATCCGGAGCCCAGGAGCATCTGGAGCCCAGGAGCATCCGGAGACCAGGAGCATCCGGAGACCAGGAGCATCTGGAGCCCAGGAGCATCCGGAGACCAGGAGCATCTGGAGCCCAGGAGCATCTGGAGCCCAGGAGCATCCGGAGACCAGGAGCATCTGGAGACCAGGAGCATCCGGAGACCAGGAGCATCCGGAGCCTCCAATGGCCCATCTGTGGGCCTGTAGAGTCCTCAGCGCGGAGAAAGGAACTCGGGACATATAATCTGAAAAACAGCCTAAGGAATTTACACTCTCACAGGGAAACAAAACGAATCCACGTCCTCTTTGGAAGTGTGGCAGCAGTGACGGGCACTGAGTGGCGGTGACGAAGGTGCGCGAAGAGGCATAGGTGAGGTCAGACTGGAGAAGAGGCGGGTTCTGAAGGAGCAGGTGGCTTCCAAGGTGTCTGCTGAGCGGGTACGGGACAGGGCGCCGAGGCCGTGTGTGGGCACAGAGCAGGCTGGGGTGCAGCCTCGCAGAGCGGGACTGAGCGGCTGGCAGGAGGAGGTCTGTGCCCGGAGGACGCAGCACTCAGCAAGGCCCACGGACGAGCGAGCCAAGGCGGTGTTAACACAGTGGCAGCAGCTCCTCCAGGCTTTGGGCAGACGGGCGACTCAGTGCACAGAAATCCTGAGGAACGAGTTCGCTTTCTGTGCAAAGCACAGTTCTCTCACCTCACAACATCCCACCCTTCACAGGCTCTTCCAAGTATGATGGGGGCTAGCCCAGGCGGCACCCTCAGAAAACTGCCCGAGGACCAAGCAATCACCTGGTGGCAGGCCGGGGCCGGGGCCGGGGCCGGGGAGGACTGGGGAGAGCCCCTTGGGGTGGTCTTTGATCCGGTCCCACGAAGTCCCTGCTAGCTTCCTGTGAGCGGACAGCACGAGCCAGGCTGGCCAAGCCCGTCGAGGAAAGCATCCCCACCGTGCAGTCCGACTCCAGCCCAGGCCCGAGCTGGGGCTGAGCACTGCTGGGCAGCACGGTGTTCAAAGGTGGTGACAGGGCAGGGAAATCCAAGCACCTGTGGAGGGGAAGGGAGAGTCACAGAGGTCCCCAGACCCCCTCACCAAGACTGTTCCAGAACTGACCAGTCTCTTGAGAAAAACTTAAAACCAGTCTTGTTAAGGTTGGTTGACTAGTTTGAGGGCGCAGGTCTCATAGAATAAGACCCATTTGGTAATGGTTTGAGGCTCAGCAGACCTTTGCGGACCATAGAGAGGACGATCAGAGAGCACGGTGACTGGGGCACAGCTCACCCTTGGACACCTACCGAGAGGCCAGGATCTGCTCCGGGAGTCCCTGACCTAACACTGCACTGCTCCTGGCGCCTCATCTTGGGTCGCCGGGGACCCCTCCCCGTGTCTGCATGAGGGCAAAGTTGAACTACAGGGAGCAGACCGCTGCTACCAGCATTTCCAGCCCCGCCCCCACCCTGGCAAAGGCACAGACTTGTTTGCATGGGAGGAGAGAAGGCTGAAGGCCCTCTGCTGGGACCCGGCCCTGGGCTTGGTTCTGGGCTCGGAGTCTGACTAGCTACGATCCGGAGAAAGACAACCTCTCTCTGACTCACGAGCTTCCTGCAAAACCAAGAGAAACAGCCTATTTCATAAGCCGAGGGGCAGCATCAGCTAAAAGTGCTGGTTAGAAGTGCTCCCCCCTCCCAGAGGAGAGGCTGAGAGGGAGGAGGGTCCGGTGGGAGCTTTGCGGCCGTGGCCCGCTCCCTTCCTCTGGAAAACAAAATGCAGCAACTGACCAGACCTTCAGATAAGACCCCGAAGCCTCAGGGTCTCCATCCTGGGTGCCAGAGAAGGGAGAGAGTGCTGTTGTTTAGCAGGGTCCCAAAGGCAGAGATGACTGGGAGAACCTGGAAGAAGCTGAGAAAATGAGGAAACCTCCGTGGAAAGAACTCCTGAGCATCAGGGGTCACTGCACAGTCCTGTTCAAGACTGCACAGAGCGACACGGAACGACCTACTGACCACGACTCGCTGAACCCTGTGCAGCTGGTTTCCAATGCCTGTCTCGAGTCTCGGGAACTGGAAAAGAAGAGAAAGACTGAGGTGGAGGGAGCAGGCCTTGGCACTGAACCAGTACCCACTGGCATTTGAAAGGCCCGGCCTGGCCCATCCTGAGTCACAGGGCAAAGCTATACAGAGCTGAGGCAGGAAGACAGGCCCAAGGCTTGTAAGTGCACTTGACCTTGGGCTCAGGGTTTCGGAAACAGCGGGAAAGATCATCCAAGATCTTAAACCCTCCACTGACACCCTTTCAACCCCTAGGGACAGTAAACAATACCAAAGATGGCAGGCAAGGACTCAGGGCTGGAAGTCAGAAACAGGCGGGAACCCAGGCTCAGGAAAACTGTGTGTACACATATCTGGGTGCAGTGGCAGTTACTACAGAACACCTCAGACAAGGCTAACAGGTGAGTTCAGGACAAGAGACCAAAAACCATCACAGGAAAATCGAATCCAAATGAAAGGCCACCGGGGGCCCGGAGGATGGGGTGAATAGGACAGAACAATTCCTCAGGAGTGACACTGAGTTGGCACAGATCCACCTGCTTGCTTTGGCCACTGTGTACACTCTCTGGCCCGTTGTGACACCACCTGATCATAACACTGTACTCGGGGTGGGCCTGAGGTGATGAAGACAGCTTTCTGCACACACCACACGAGAAACCTCACACAGACTTGCACAGGGTGTGGCTTGCACAAACTGGTTCTGAAGGCCAAATCCTCCCCTCCTTTGTCTATTCACAGGAGTTGAGAAAAGAACTGCTTTCTCTTTGTTGATCTCAACTGCAAAGCGAGGCAGGTACTGCCTTCGGAAGGTCAGAACGGCAGCTGGTCCCGACTGTCCACGCTAAGAGAGTGAAAACGAGCAGACCACTCCTGTTTCACGTTGACAAGAATCACATGATTGTTTTACAGAACTAGTCACAGGTTTGGCTTCCCGAGCTGAGGCCATTATGAAAGTCTGTTTCTATGTCCTGAGCCCCTGCTGGCCAGAGTTACCCCATAATTAACAATGGACAGTTCACAGGATGGGCACTCTGCCCGTAGGACACCACCAGTGAACGCCCCAGGGAAGACGACCATGGCCACCCCTGTGGGGTCAGGCCTCTGGGCCAGCCCACGTGACAACCAGATGGGAGTCACGTTCTCCCTTCAGGATGCCCAGAACCCACTTCTTTCTGGGTCTTCTGAAAAGCAGGGCAGCATTTCCAACTTAAAATCACAGAGCACACATTTAGCCAAGTAATTCTCAAATCTTCTTTTGTTAAAAGTTGCAGAACCCGTCATCCAAGTGCATACTTAGTAAAGAAAGATAAACAAGAAACCAATAAAAATGGTTACCTGCCGGGGATGGAGGGCAGAGGGCAGAGGGGAATGCAAGCCTTCTTTTTAGATAGCTTGATTTTTGAAGCAAATAAATTGATTATCTCTTAAAATAGTAAAATAATGTTTGAAGGTGGAAGCCCAGAACGTTCAGTACAAACTGTGGCGCTGCTCTGGCAGAAGGCGGGGGGAGCAGAGCCCCGCCACCCTGCTCTGTCTTCACCCAAGGGCGTCTTGGGGTGTCGTCCATTCGCTCCCTGCACTGACACTGCCGGCCGGGCCCAGTCTTTTCGGCCTGGAGACCAAAGCCCAGGGAGCTGGGCTGTCTCGGGGTCGCTCTTTCCATGAGACACATTCAGGAAGAGTTAAATGCACGCCCCAGAAGAAACAATACACCCAACCCTTTCGAAAGATTTATTTTTAATTAAAAAATAAAAGTTTATCTTAACATATCTGCATTGCATCTTCAAGGATGGCAACTCAATGAAGCAAGAAAAACAAGGCTTGTCAGTTCTTAAGTCACCTGACAATCTTATAATGGGTTCCAAGGCACACCGGCTTCAAACAAACAAACTTTATTCGGAAACAATTAAAATAACTCAGAACTCCCTTCCCCGAACTCTTTCAGCCCGCCCTCACCGACCCCTGCCCCAAACAACAACCAAAACATTAAATTCTCTTTTTAAAACTACGGAAATAAGTGCTGAGTCAGCGAGGAACCTGGGCAAGCTGCCCAAGTCCTCCACATCTTTCTGCTTTGATGACTGGCTGCCCAGAGGCTGGCAGGGGGAGAGCCGGAGCCATGCCCCACCGTGCCAGGTGTCAGCCCAGCTGGGTCAGGCAGTTGCAAGGCACTGTCTCCCTTTAAGGGCATCCTGGGGCTAAAGCATCCTTTCAGGAAGAGAAAGGCCTAAGGCAAGCAAGTCTTCTCAAATGCTTGGGGTGGAAACGCCACCAAGACCTGTGGGAGGGAGGGAGACAGGTGGCTCTCTTCTCCCTCAGTGCGCCAGGCTTTGGGAAGTTTTTCTCTCCTATTCACCTGCCTTCTCTCTTTCCCTTCTTCCCAGTCTCCCCCTCCCCTCAAAGAGTTTTGTTTTAGCTTGATGGTGGGGGTTCGGAAGAGGCCGCTGGCGACTCCTGTGGCTGGCCTGGGGGCTCTGCCACCTCTAAGGGGACACCGCATGCTGTCGGTTCCTGTGGGTCACAGGGCTGCTCTCCTCCCTGCAAGGGCGTGAGGCTCCTCTGGCCCTGGGCCTGGCTGTTCATCTTCTCTTCAGCTTCAATTTCTTCTGAGGTGGGGATGGAGTTCTTCTTGGGACGACCTTTGGGCTTTGTGGGTGCTTCCTGGCCACCTTTAAGAACCTATATGGAAGAAAAAGGGTCATTAAATCCAAGAGACAACGCCTTCCCTCTACTTTACCACTGAGGAGCATGTGTCGTCCCTTCCCAGCAGTGACAGAGTTGGGCAGAAACTATCTTCGGCCTGTCGCCTCCAGGCGACAAGGACAATCTTCATCCTTTAAGCTCAATGCACTTTTAGCCAATGTGACACATACCTTGGCATTAAATAGAAGGCTCACAAACACACACACACAAAGCCAATTTCAATAATGAGGAAAGAAGTGAAAATTAAAACACTGATGTGGTATCAATGAAGCTGACAAGTTAAAAGAAAAAGACAGTTATTTGTAGCAAGTAGGAAAATAAAACACTCATACTCCAGTGTCAAAGAATAACTGGTACAACCTTAGCAAAGGGCAATCTGAGAATTCAACAGTTTTAAAATGTGCATACTCTGACACAAAAATTCCACTTCTAGTAATTTAGCCTGAGAAAGCCCTCAAAGACAAAAGCTGATATGCAAAAATACTGATGACAAAATTGAAGAAAATTACCCGTGATTGGGTAGGTAATTATAAATACATCACAAAGAGAGAATACTTGATGACCATTACAACTATTACGTAGGAGAATGTTTAACAACATGGAAAATATTAATATTTGTTGTGTGAAAAACAGATTATAAACCAGCATGTTTCAATTTGGAGGCTTGATGATTATACACCACGTTGTTTATAGTGTCAGGATCATGAATAAAAAAATTTTTTAAATATATCTCTGTATTCTCTGATTTTTCCACAATGATCATGCATAAGTATTTCTGTAATTAGAACAAAGGCGTTGAGATTTCCAGTCAAGACTGTGATGTAGGTGAAGGCTATGCTTGCCTCCTCCCATGATCACATCAAAACAACAATCCAATCATAGAACATTCAGCTTAGAAAACACGTGAAGATGAGCTGAACAGATGTCCTATAACTAAGGATATAAAGAAGACTGCTAGGGTGGACAAAGACATGAAATAGGATGGCCCCACACCCACTGTGGCAGTTGAGAATCAGGGGGTATGTCTCAGCCCCAGAGGTCCCCCCTGGGGAGCAAGGGGTTCCATCCCCAAACCGGGTCCCCAGCCAGGAGCACCAGTGCAGCAAAGGGAGATCCCACAATATCTGGCTATGAAAATCCGCAGGTATTCTGTCTCTCCAAGTGAGATGGAAGGCTGCTGGAAACCCAGGCATCCTCTTAAAGGGCCCATACACAGACTTGTTCACTCGTAGGCACTCACCTAGGGCTATGGTAGAAGGACAGTGACTCAGGAGGCACCAGACACATATAGAGAGAAACTGATTTGTGTGGCTTAAGGTCAAGGGTTGGAGGGACAGCTGCCATTGTCCCTGGTTTGAGCTGTCCTCCTACACAGCTGGCAGGTGGGGGTATATTTCCTGTGTTGAGCTCTCCCTTCACACAGCCAAATCTGTATCTGCATTCACCTGCTCAACTCCACTCACTCCACCCTGACGAATCACTGAGACCCCAATCCACCCAAATCACACAACACCAGGGTCTGTTCCAGAGGCAGGCAACCAACCTTGGCCCACACTGCAGTCTTTAAAAAGAAAAATTTCAAAGGTCCACAGACCCCAGGGGTCTTGGTGTGCCCTGTGACTTTTGCTTAGTGGTCCCAGACTCAGCACTAGTGTCAAATCTGAATCTGCATTAGCTTGGTGACTCCCTGAGAACCCCTCCTTATCAAACTCGTACCACCCAAGGCTCTTTCACTGGCTGAGCTTTACAGGCAGACAGCAGGTAGCAACAGACCTCAATGTGCCCTATACCTTGTGCTGACCTGACCCTGGCCCAGGACTGGTGGCAAACAAACTTGGTTTGCAGCATGGCCTCTCCAATGCACTTCTAGGTCCAGTGCAGGCAGCTACAACTGCAGACTGCTTTGTAGCTCTTACCAGGTAGCCCCAGGCCAGTCACAGGCAGTGGCTGACCTTGGCCTGCACTGGACCCCCTTCTAAGAGGCTCCAGAACCAACATACCCCATGGCCAGATTCAGACCATAACAGAGCAACACCTGATTAGCTTCACAAGTGGCATACCCAAAGGGTGGTTTCAGCAGGCACCAGAGCAGGGTGGGGTGAATCCCCCTCTATGGAGTAAGCCACTGTAGACCATCTTGTGTACTTGGTGGTGGCCAAGCCTCACAACCAGTCAGCCTGAGGGTCCATCCCACCCACTGACAAGCCAACAGCAATCAAGGCTCAACTATAGCAAGAGGTCACACACAACACACACAAGGGCCACCCTTGGAGAACCTGGCTCAGGTGATTAGAGACTAGGCCCCAAAGGACACCTAGTACATAAGGTCACCCTGTGCTAGGAGGTATAGCAGCTCTACCTAATACACAGTAATAAACACAGCTAGGCAGCCAAAAGTGAGGAGATAAAGAAACATGTCCCAAATGAAAGAAAAGGAGAAAACTCCAGAAAAAGAACTAAACTAAATGGAGACAAGCAATCTACCAGATGTAGGATTCAACAATGGTTATAAGGATGCTCAAGGAACTTAATGAGAACTTCAACAAAAACACAGTCGGCATAAAAAAGGTCATAGAAATCTTTTTTTTTTTTTTTTTAAAGCTAGAAATGATTAATATACTAGAAGGAATCAACAGCAGATTAGATGATGCAGAGGATCAAATCAGTAGTTTGGAAGACAAGGTAGCAAAAAACAACAACACCTATTCAGAAAAGAAAAAAGAACTTTAAAAATGAGATAGTTTAAGGGACCTCTGGGACAATATCAAGCATAACAACATTTGCATCATAGGAGTAACCAAAAGAACAGAGAGAACAAGGATTGAAAACTTCCCTAATCTGAAGAAGGAAATAGACATACAAGTCCAGGAAGTGCAGAGAGTCCCAAACAAATGGACCCAAAGAGGCCCACAGAAAGACACTTCATCAATTCAATGGCAAATGTTAAAGACAAGTGAGAATCTTAAATGTAGCAAGAGAAAGGCAGTTATATATTTACAGGGGAATTCCCATAAAACTGTCAGTTGATTTCTCAATAGAAATTTTGCATTCCAGAAGTGATTGGCACGAAATACTCAGAGTGATGAAAAGGACCTACAACCAAGATTACCCAGCAAGGATAGTATTTAAAATGGAAGGAGAGATAAAGAGCTTCCCAAATAAGAAAACGCTAAAGAAGTTCATAACCATCATACCAGTATTATAAGAAATCTTAAAGTAACTTCTTTTAAAAAGAAAAAGGAAAAAAAATACATATGAATAATAAATGGCAATAATGATGTATCTATCAATAATCACTTTAAATGTAAATGAATTAAATGCTCCAATAAGAAGATATAGGGTAGCTGGATGGATAAAAAAGCAAGACCCGCCCTGGCCAGTGTGGCTCAGCTGGTTGAGCATCATCCTGTGCACCAGTTCCATTCCTAGTCAGGGCACATGGCCAGGTTGTGGGCTCAGTCCCCAGTAGGGGGTGTGCAGGAGGTAGTCAATCGATGTTACCCTCTTACATCGATGTTTCTCTCCCTTCCTCTCTCTCTAAAATCAATAATAAAAACATATATTTTTAAAAGAAAGCAAGACCCATACGTACATAAGGGACTGACTTCAGATCAAAAGAACACACACAGACTGAAAGCAAAGGGATAAAAAAAGATATTTTATGCCAACAGGAACAACAACAACAAAAGCTGAAGTAGCAATAGTTATATCTGACAAAATAATCTTTAAAACTAAGGCTACAACAAAAGACAAATGACATTACATAATGATAAAGGAATGAATCCAACAGAGGATATAACCCTTGTAAACATCTATGCATTTAACATAGGAGCACCTAAATATATAAAGCAAATATTGATGGAAATAAAAAAAAAAGATTGGCAGTAATACAGTCATAGTAGGAGATTTTAACACCCCCTTGACATCAATGGATAGATCTTCCAGACAAAAAATCAACAAGGAAACCACGGCCTTAAATGACACATTAGACAGAAGGACTTAATTGATATTTTTAGAGCATTTTACCCCAAAGGAGCAGAATATACAGGGTGTCCCTCAAAAATGTATACATCTTTAAAGTTGATAGCTCAACTGATGTTATTTCTTTTCAGATTTAACCCATTGGAATTTATAATTATTCAAAGTGTGTATACATTTTTTCAGACACCACATATGTTTTTTTCAAGTACACATAAAACATTTTCCAAGATAGATCACATGTTAGGTCACAAAACAAGTCTCAATAAATTTTAAAAAACAGAAATCATATCAAGCATCTTCTACAACCACAATGGTATGAAACTAGAAATCAATCACAAGTAAAAAACTAAAAAACATACAAATACATGAAGGTTAATTAACATGCTACTAAACAATGAATGCATTAGTAATGAGATTGAGGAAGATATCAAAAAATGCCTTGAGACAAATGAAAATAAAAAACACAATGACCCTCCCTGGCTGGGTGGATCAGCTGGTTCTATACACCAAAAATGTTGCGGGTTCAATATTCCTGGTCAGGGCACATACCAAGGTTGTGGGTTCAGTACCTGGTAGGGGCATGTATGGGAGGCAACAGATCGATGTTTCTCTCTCTCTCTCTCTCAAATTAATCAATCATCAAATTTTTAAAAACCACAATGACCCAAAACCTATGGGGCACAGAAAAGTCGGTCCCAAGAGGGAAATGCATAGCGTTGCAGTCCTACCTCAAGAAACAAGAAAAATCTCACATAGACAATCTAACCTTATAACCTAAAAAAAAAATTAGAAAGAGAGGAATTGATAAATATCAGTGAAAATAAATGAAACGGAGTATTTAAAAAATGCAAAATATCAATAAAACCAAGAGCTGGTTCTTTGAAAAGATAAAACTGATAAATCCTTAACCAGACTCATCAAGAAACAAAGAGAGATAAATAAAATCAGAAATAAAAGAAGAGGAGTGACAACTTACACCACAAAAATACAAAGGA